TATGTGAAAATAATATATTAGATTTTAAGTATATCATGGTCGTTTAAAAATTTAAAATTTTAAATAAATAATCTAAAATTTAAATATTAAAACATATAAATAGAAATTAAAGATTAAAAAGGATACTAATATCTAGGTCTTCCGAGCAATGCCTAAGAATATATAATATTTTCTTATATAAAATTCGACACCAAGTACATTTGTCAAAATAACATTAACCATAAAAAAAAAAAAAAACTATTTTGTAGTGGGAAACTAAGAATCTTTAACATTAAACTATTAAGATTAAAAAATCGTGAATAAATAGGAAAAAGAGTTGTATAATTTAAACAGTACCCTGTTACCTAGTAATTATTAATCAAATACAATCTGCCCTTTGAAATAGGATTACTAACACAGATAGAATCCTTAAATCTGTTAACTTAAGTAGGAAGGTATGGAAAAAATTATTAAAAAAAGATAATTTGCTACCCAAATAAAAAGTAAAGATAAATTTTCACTTCATAAAAAAGTAAGAATAAATTTATTAACAAAATAAAAATAAATTATTTTATAAATTATTAATTAAGACAATTACTTATTATTTCACACATAACATAATTACATGACAAAAATTCATTTACTACCAAAGTAATTTGTAATGAAAAGTTGACTTATAATAATGTTATATATTAACATATTAATAATTTATTTTAATTAATATTTTAAAGATAAATTTTGATTATTTTTTTCTTAATTTTTTAATTTCCGATAATTATATTAAATATGAAATAATTCAGAATCAACTTACATCGAATTTCATTTAAAAAAATATTTTTTAATATTTATTTTTTATTTATAAAACTCAAATTTATAATTTTATTTAAAAAAATCGATCACACTCGAAGGAAGAAAATCTGTTTTTATCTTTTTATTTTACAATTTACGGACAAATTTGGGGTTATTGCGTTTTTAATAAATAATAAATTTACCTTTTTTTCTCCTTCCTAATTTTCTACGACGTATAAAAGACTCAGAAGCTCACCTCCTCTTCTTCATTCCTTCTGCGCTCTAGGGTTTCTGTTTACCTCGTAAATTCCCTACTTATTCATCGATTCTTCCAATCTTTTCAACACCTTTGAGGTAATTGTTTTACTGATTCTGAATTCTAATTTCTAGTGTATAGATTTTTGGAAGAGTAAGGTTTTGATTTCCTTCTCATTTAGGGTTTCAGTAAGCTGTTGATTGGATGGGGGTAATCGGATCAGGAGCCGTCTGATCTCTTGTTCTTGCTGTCACTGCTGGTAATCTGGGGCGGTGGTCCCCTTTGTATGGAAACTCGGAGCCGGAAGCGGGCGGAGGCCTCCTCAACTGCCCCTTCTTCTTCATCGGGTCCCATCACTCGCTCCCACAAGCGCGCCCGTCTCTTCTCCTCTCCCGCTGTCAGTTCCCCTCCCGTCCGTTCCCGCTCTTCTCGTGCCGCAGCTGCAATGGACCCGACAAATAATGAATCCTCCTCTGGTTCTCGTCGTGATCGTCGCTCCAACAAAAGTAATCAGAATCAGAATACCAGTGATAATCCTAATCCGTCCTCTGATAAAGGTAAGGAAAAGGAACTCGATCCCAGGATTCGAGAGAGAGATAGAGATAACGCCAATAGCAATAATCACCCCGAGCGCAGTTTGGGGTTGAATATGGATGGCTCTGGAGGTGATGAAGATGATAATGACAGTGAGGGTGGAGTGGGGATTTTCCACCAGAATCTGTCGACGTCAGCAAGCAGCGCCCTTCAAGGGCTATTAAGGAAGCTGGGTGCTGGATTGGATGATTTGTTGCCGTCTTCGGCATTATCATCTTCCCACCTGAGTGGGAGGCTGAAGAAAATTCTTTCTGGGCTGCGAGCAGATGGAGAGGAAGGTAAGCAAGTGGAGGCATTGACGCAGCTCTGTGAAATGCTGTCGATTGGGACTGAGGAATCACTAAGCACCTTCTCTGTTGATTCCTTTGTTCCTGTGCTTGTGGGATTGCTTAACCATGAAAGTAATCCGGATATAATGCTTCTAGCTGCAAGGGCACTCACTCATTTGTGTGACGTGCTTCCGTCTTCTTGTGCTGCTGTTGTTCACTATGGTGCTGTTTCTTGCTTTTGTGCGAGGCTGCTAACTATAGAGTATATGGACTTGGCCGAGCAGGTTAGGCTTGGTTTTATTTCAATTAAGTTGATTCGTTGGATGTTAGAAATTGAACTTCTTTCAGTTGAGTCATTGTTAATCTTGCAAAAAGTTAGGTGCAGTTCTAAGCACATTTTCGATACACATTAGTTTTGTTGTACATGTAGCAATATTAGGATAAATCTGCTTTCATTGGCAACTAGACATGCTTGTGAAGCTAACTTGTAAATTGATCAGTGTTACGTTTTTTGCTTGTAGCAATTGATATATTTGTATTTGATTGTTGATACTTCGTGCATGGATTAACTAACCTGGGTCCTAAATTGATGTTTGATATGGTGGAAACAGTGTCTGCAAGCTTTGAAGAAGATATCTCAGGAACATCCAACTGCCTGTTTGAGAGCAGGTGCTCTTATGGCAGTGCTTCCCTATCTTGATTTCTTCCCAACTGGAGTACAGGTAAGGAATTTTGTGAAAATTTTCAAATTGCCATAATTAATATATGCCATAAGTAGTGAAGAACACCATCTAGCCAATTTGATCCTTATCAAATTTCAATCGAGTTCTATTTACTACTGTCTTCCAGCGGGTGGCGTTATCTACTGCTGCAAATATGTGCAAGAAACTCCCGTCAGATGCAGCTGATTATGTCATGGAAGCTGTACCACTATTGACAAACCTTCTTCAGTATCATGATTCAAAGGTAACTTCACCATCCATCCTATGAACAGTTTGGGAAATCCCAGTCCTTGTCAGCAAATGCAATAGAGTGACCATACCAACATAAAAAGATTAAATATGAAGTATAGAACTGATTTAGAACATTGTTAAATTGGTTTTGGGTTCACCAAACATGTACATAGGTCCATAAAATAAATGTTTTATTAGTCTAGTTTCTTCGTAATCATCCCACTTTGTTCTATTTGTAGGTCTTGGAACATGCTTCCGTTTGTTTGACCCGCATTGCTGAAGCATTTGCATCATCACCAGATAAATTAGATAAGCTCTGCAATCATGGTTTGGTTACTCAAGCTGCAACTCTAATTTCTACCAGTAATTCAGGTGGTGGACAAGCGTCTCTTAGCACGCCAACTTACACGGTAACTGCCACTGGTGCATTCTCTTTGCTAATATTTTGGAAAGTTGCCAACTTAGGCATTTTAACATTCTGCATGCATTCAGGGCTTAATTCGACTGCTTTCCACCTGTGCAAGTGGATCCCCACTTGGAGCTAAAACTCTGCTTCTGCTTGGGATCAGTGGTATTCTTAAAGATATTTTATCAGGTTCTGGTGTTTCTGCTAATTCATCTGTTCCTCTAGCTTTGAGTAGACCAGCAGATCAGGTAGTGTTTTCTTTCGGATCTTGATAGTAGGATGGTACCTCTCATTGCTTAATATGTATTTGTCCTGAAAAGTGACATTAGTGGAAAGGCATTGCCTAGCAAAGCAGTTTGCAGTATTAGCAACTATAGTAGAGAAGTCGTTTCATCTCTTGGACTCTAATAATATACAAACCAGTCTTAGTATTCTACAAATTGAGAAGTATAAAACATGACTTGTATAATTACCTTCAAACGTCAATTCCCAGCTGTAATATTTGAAAGTATACCATTTCTGGAAATAATAATATCTATGGATGTGCTGATCGTAGATTTCCTTATACTTTTGTTTGGTTGTGGTGCATGTGTTGCAATAGTTTGCTCTTATGATTGTTATGCAATGTGTTGAGAATATATTGGGTAGCCATGCAACTGGATGTGGATGGCGCATTCTAGATTAGAGTAATTCCTGCTGCCATTAAGTGAGTGGTTGTTGGAATCTGTTGTCTGTGGTGTTCCTTACAGTTATTATTGCTAGCATTGCTCATTTGGGGTAATTTTTATTAATTATTTGGTTGTACCCTTCATCTATCCTAACTCATGGGCATATTGCTTTTTATGTGTATAGCTATATTTTTTGAATGAATTTAATTCTCATGTCACAATGCAGATTTTTGAGATTGTCAACCTTGCAAATGAGCTTCTTCCCCCATTGCCACAAGGAACCATCTCCCTTCCTGTCAGCTCCAGTATGTTTGTGAAAGGTCCTGTACCGAAAAAATCCCCTGGTAGCAGTACTGGAAAACAAGAAGACACAAATGGAAATGCTCCTGAGATTTCAGCTCGTGAGAAACTGTTGAGTGATCAGCCTGAGCTCTTGCGGCAGTTTGGGATGGATCTGCTTCCTGTTCTAATACAGGTAAGCTTGCTTATTTAGGTGACTAAAATTTTTTGCTTCCACTTGCTTTAATCTGTAACTAACAGCATGTTTGGGTTAAGGGGAATCGAGGGAGGGGAGGGGAAAAATTCTTTATTTGGTTATTAAAAAATTTGGAGTGGAGGGCAGGGGAGGGAAAAAATTTCTTTTAGGTTTTCTTTTAATTTAGTTATTTATCCAAATGAGGGGAAGGGAGGGCAGGGGAATGGAAGGGTATAATTCCTCTCCATTCCCCTCAACAATCAACCCAAACATAGGGTTAAGCTTTCTGTCTTTCTGTCAAGCAGATATATGGTTCCAGCGTCAATAGCCCAGTTCGGCACAAATGTCTCTCTGTTATCGGTAAATTAATGTATTTCAGCACTGCAGAGATGATACAGTCTTTGTTAAGCATGACAAACATATCAAGGTATCTAATTTGTTTGGGGTAGAATTATTTTTGCATTCATCCTATGATTAGTGCCTACAGGAACTTACCATAGTTGTTTGTTTTTAGTTTCTTAGCTGGTGTTTTAGCATGGAAAGACCCACATGTCTTGGTTCCAGCCCTCCAAATTGCTGAGATTCTTATGGAAAAGCTTCCTGGAACATTCTCAAAAATGTTTGTTAGAGAGGGTGTGGTTCATGCTGTAGACCAACTTGTATTAGTTGGCAATCCAACTGCTCAAGCATCCTCCGTTGATAAGGATAATGATTGTATAACCGGAACATCATCACGTTCTAGGCGTTATAGGCGACGAAGTGGTAACTCTAATCCTGAAGGTGGTTCCATGGAAGAGTCTAAAAATCCAGTCTCTGTGAATGTTGGCTCTCCTCCAAGTTCAGTAGAAATTCCTACTGTCAATTCAAATCTTCGTACAACGGTAAGTTCATGTGCTAAAGCATTCAAGGACAAGTATTACCCTTCTGATTCAGGCGCTATTGAAGTTGGAGTTACAGATGATCTGTTACTCTTAAAGGATCTTTGCATGAAATTAAATAATGGTATTGATGATCAAAAAACTAAAGTTAAGGGAAAATCTAAAACCTCTGGTTCTCAATTTGTTGAGCTCTCTGCTAGCAAGGAAGACTACTTGATTGAGCTGATATTGGAGATACTAGCAGAACTAAGCAAAGGGGATGGTGTATCTACTTTTGAGTTCATTGGTAGTGGGGTTGTTGCTGCTTTGTTAAATTATTTTTCTTGTAGTTGCTTCTCCAAGGAAAGAATTTCGGAAACCAATCTGCCAAAGCTCCGCCAACAAGCACTTAAAAGATTTAAATCATTTATTGAGATTGCACTACCTTCCAGCGTGGATGAAGGGAGTGTGGCTCGTCTGACTGTCTTAGTTCAGAAGCTTCAAAATGCTCTGTCTTCTTTAGAGCGTTTCCCTGTTGTTTTAAGCCATTCTTCTAGGTCATCACTGGGGGGTGCACGGCTCTCTTCTGGATTAAGCGCATTATCTCAGCCATTTAAGTTGCGCCTCTGTAGAGCCCAAGGAGAAAAATCTCTTCGAGATTATTCATCCAATATAGTGCTTATTGATCCATTAGCAAGTTTGGCAGCTGTTGAAGAGTTCCTTTGGCCACGGGTTCAGCGGAGTGACTCTGGTCTGAAATCCTCTGCATCTGTGGGAAATTCTGAATCTGGAACTACACCTAGTGGAGCTGGTGCTTCATCCCAATCTGTGTCAACTACTCGTCGTCATTCTTCAAGATCCAGATCATCTGTTAATATAGGAGATGCTGCCAAAAAGGAACAGTTGCAGGATAAAAGTACTAGTTCTTCAAAGGGAAAAGGTAAAGCTGTCTTGAAAGCAGCCCAAGAGGAGTCAAGAGGACCTCAAACAAGAAATGCTGCTCGCAGAAGAGCTGCACTTGATAAAGATGCGCAAATGAAATCAGTGAATGGTGACTCTACTTCTGAGGTATGAAATCACTCATTCACATGAGCAGAGTATATAGTTACAATACAATTCCTTAGTGCATTGGATTTGCTAATGCAGAGTCATTCTTTTTTGTGTATTAAGCTATTAACTTAAGACAAATGAAAAATTTTTATGCTAATTATATATTGGGATACATGATGTTAGTTCATGATTGTTGGTTAATAAAACATTCCTAGTGGATTGGAGGTTGCTTCATACTTTAAGCTTCACAGTGTTGCCTCTTTCCATCCTAAATTATTTCCTGTTTAGTGATCATCTTTTGTTCCTTGCATTTTTATTCATAGGATGAAGAATTGGATATGTCTCCTGTTGAGATTGATGATGCATTGGTGATTGAAGATGATGATATCTCTGATGATGAAGATGGTGATCATGATGATGTAAGTTATCTTTGCCTCTGGTATTTTTTTGCTTTCTCCACAAAGATCTGTGTTATGTATCTGCACTTGTTATGTGTGATGGCCACTATATCCCTGTGTAGTTTTGCTGTCCATATACCGGTCTTCATATATTCATTGGCATGATATAATGAAATTTTCTTCTCTGATTGATGAGTAATGAAAAGTCTCCTAAAGGAGTAAAATAGTCTGTTGAAAGTTGATTGATTTGAAGAACTCAGCTTATGATGTCATTATGAAAAGTAATTCTGTTAAATATGAGTAATGCCAAAAACTGAAAAGCTAGTGTGTTACTTGGAGTTCATTCTAATAATTGTTTCTGTTGTACAACTTTGTTTTCTAGGTGCTGAGGGATGATTCCCTTCCCATTTGCATGTCCGAAAAAGTACATGATGTGAAATTGGGAGATTCAGCTGAAGATGGTGCAGCTGTCTCAGCCACAAGTGATAGCCAAACAAATGCAGCATCTGGATCTAGTAGCAGAGCTGCTACAGCTAGAGGTTCAGATTCTGTTGATTTTAGGAGTGGCAATTCCTATGGTTCAAGGGGTGCAATGTCATTTGCTGCTGCTGCTATGGCTGGGCTTGGTTCTGCCAATGGTAGAGGTATCAGGGGAGGAAGAGATCGACAAGGGCGTCCCTTGTTTGGTAGTTCTAATGAGCCTCCAAAATTGATCTTTACTGCAGGTGGGAAGCAGCTTAACAAGCATTTGACCATCTATCAGGCCATTCAGCGACAGCTTGTTCTTGATGATGAGGATGAAGAGAGGTATGGTGGTAGTGATTTTATTTCTAGTGACGGGAGCAGGCTTTGGAGTGATATCTACACTATTACATACCAAAAGGCAGACAGCCAAGCTGACCGAACATCTGTTGGAGGATCAAGTTCTACTAAATCTACTAAATCTGGCTCATCCAATTCCAACTCTGAAGTCCAAACTCAAAGAATATCGCTTTTAGATAGCATTTTGCAAGGGGAACTTCCTTGTGATCTTGAAAAATCAAACCCTACCTACAATATCTTGGCATTGTTGCGTGTGTTAGAGGGTTTGAACCAGCTTGCTCCTCGTTTAAGAGCCCAGATAATATCTGACAGTTTTGCTGAGGGAAAAATACTAAGTTTAGATGAGTTGAGTACAACTGGTGCCAGAGTTACTTCTGAGGAGTTTGTTAACAGTAAGCTAACACCAAAATTAGCTCGCCAGATTCAGGATGCTCTTGCTCTCTGCAGTGGGAGTCTCCCTTCCTGGTGCTACCAGTTGACAAAAGCATGCCCCTTCTTGTTTCCTTTTGAGACACGAAGACAGTACTTTTATTCAACTGCCTTTGGGTTGTCTCGTGCACTGTATCGTCTCCAGCAGCAGCAGGGTGCTGATGGCCATGGATTAGCAAATGAAAGAGAGGTGAGGGTTGGAAGATTACAGCGCCAGAAAGTTCGTGTTTCCCGTAATCGTATATTAGATTCTGCTGCAAAAGTAATGGAGATGTACTCTAGCCAAAAAGCTGTACTTGAAGTAGAATATTTTGGAGAAGTTGGAACTGGGTTGGGTCCAACTTTAGAATTCTATACACTTTTAAGTCATGACTTGCAAAAAGTTGGACTTGGAATGTGGAGATCAAATTCTACATCTGAAAAACATTCCATGGAAATTGATGGAGATGAAGACAAAAATGGAAAGGCTGCTAGTTCTGCTACTAATGATGGAGAGATGGTCCAAGCTCCTCTTGGGTTGTTTCCTCAACCGTGGCCACCAAAGGCTGATGCTTCTGAAGGAAGCTCTTTTTATAAAGTGATTGAGTATTTCCGGCTTGTTGGGCGTGTCATGGCGAAAGCTCTTCAAGATGGACGGCTTTTGGACCTGCCTCTGTCAACAGCCTTCTATAAACTTGTTCTTGGTCAGGTAAGTTCATTGCTTTGTAGAATCATTGTTAGACTGTACCTGCTATGGTGATATATTATATCTCCTGTGTTTAATGCTTAAGTTTCTTATGCACTACAGGAGCTAGATTTGCATGATATTTTGTCTTTTGATGTGGAATTTGGGAAGATTTTGCAAGAACTAAATCTTCTTGTTTGCCGAAAGCAATATCTAGAATCATTGGATGGTGACAATTGTAATGCAATATCTGAACTACATTTTCGTGGGGCCCCACTTGAGGATCTTTGTCTGGACTTTACACTTCCAGGTTATCCAGACTATGTTTTGAAACCAGGAGATGAAACTGTAACCTCTAACTTCTTTCTGTTTTTCTCATTATTATTTGTACAGTTGGAGCAGGTCTGACTTTTTGTCAAATTCTGAACTTACAGGTTGATATCTACAATGTAGAGGAGTACATATCCTTGGTGGTTGATGCAAATGTCAAGACAGGAATCATGCGGCAAATGGAAGCTTTTAGGGCAGGATTCAATCAGGTCAAGTTTTTTGTATCTAGTTGTGTTCAAGTTGATAACTGCTGCTTTTAATACATTTCCTTTTATTGTTTTATTTTTAGTTTCTTCTTTTTGGATATACTTTTTCCTATTATTTGCTTGAATTTGCAGAACTTACTCTTGTCCTGATCATGACAATCAGGTTTTTGACATTACATCTCTCCAAATATTTACCCCTCAAGAATTGGATTATTTGCTTTGTGGACGTAGAGAGTTGTGGGAGGTAATGTGCTGCCTAACTCAAGTGACTAACCTGTGTTGGCTGTAATTGTGGTTTTAATTGGATTTCTAACCTTGCAGGCTGAGACACTGGCTGATCATATAAAATTTGATCATGGATACACTGCCAAGAGCCCTGCAATTCTAAATGTATGCTTTTTTGCCAGACTTCCATTTAAGTATTCTGAAAATAAACTTCTTATTTATCCATAGTAATGGTGATTAATCATGCATTGTTTCTTTAGTTACTTGAGATAATGGGAGAATTTACACCAGAGCAGCAGCGGGCATTCTGCCAATTTGTCACTGGAGCACCTAGGCTCCCACCTGGTGGTTTGGCAGTGCTGAATCCAAAATTGACCATTGTGAGAAAGGTAATGTGTTGAGTATTGCCTCTTGAGGTTGTGATTCTTCTATTACATTGAGTAATTTTTTTTTGGCCACCTATTACTTTTGTTGTTTAACATGGACGTATAAATCAAAATATGCAAGAACAATCCTATTTAGTGTGTTTTTGCTTCTGTTGATGGGGTCTTGTGAGTGTTCATTATTCTAATGCTTACTATTTATCTGAATGCAGCATTCTTCTACTGCAAGTAACCCAGCTTCCAATTCAAATGGACCTTCAGAGTCAGCAGACGAGGACTTGCCTAGTGTAATGACTTGTGCTAATTATTTGAAGCTTCCTCCTTATTCCACCAAGGTAATTGGTTGGATAACTAGTTTTTGCTTTACCCTCCACTGCTAGTCTTCCCTCACTAATGATTGCTGCTTTGAAAACAGGAAATTATGTACAAGAAACTACTTTATGCAATCAGTGAAGGGCAGGGATCTTTTGATTTATCATGAGTTGTCGAGACTAACCAATTGGCCAGGGTATATTATAAAACAAGACACACTGAGGGTCAATTCTTTTAGCTGGGATTGATTTTGATGTTTGGAAGTAGCATCTTTTTGCTTAAATAATGGCTCTTCACTGCCTTTAATGTCGGTATCGTATCATTTTCAAGGTAAGTGTTCCTATAAGTGATAACCCAGTTTTTGGATTTTGCCAATGGTTTTCCGGTTTTGTTACATACAGTTTTTCTGAGGTACTTTAGGACATCATCTTAAATTCTTAATATCAGGAGGATGGTTACAATTCTTATCAGGTTAAGCTTGGCTGCGTTGGGAGATTTGGAGGTGGGATTTTGAAGTTTTGTTGCAGCTTCTGCTAGCGCTTTTGTATATACATAGGAATTTTGTTTCTTTTTGTTCGACAATTTATTGCTTGGAATATACAATATATGGCGTAAATGTTGAAGGGGAAATGAATAATAAAGAAAATATTTATGTTGTTTTAATTCTTTATTTTTAAGTCTTAGAGTATGTTGTATAAATTTTCGTTTATTGTAAGCTAATGCATGTTTTAAAAATTTCTTTTAATGGAAGATATTCTACATTACTTCCTTTAGTTAGATTTAGTTATCTTAATTTAATTTATAAATAAGATACTTTCATATAATAAATAAATAATAATTAAAATTTTTATTTTTTTATTTATTATTTTTATTGAATGTTTTTACTTAAATTAAATTTTGTTTAATTGTTGCTATATAAAATTAAGTTAATTTATATATAAATTGGGGGATTAAAGCAATTTAAAAAGAAAAAAAAAATCGGAGGCAGTATTCATTGTAGACTCAACTCAATAAATTATTAACTAAATCATGCTATTGAAATTGAGCAACTCTTTTGGAGGCTTTTAACTATTTGTTGTATTAACTATTTGTTTTAGAAGAGGAGAAAATAATTAAAAATTATAGTATATTTGATTTAAAAAAAGTGAAAAAGAAGAGAAGATGTTTTTATTAATTAAATTATAATATTTTCAAATATTACAATTTGATCGGACAATTAATAATTTAGCCAGAGATTCGTTTAGAGGGTAACTAAGAAAATTTTTACATTCATTTGGTAAAGACAACAAGTACATCCTGTTTCGTGTGTTATGGTTCGGTGAAGCCAACTGTTCAATACACAACAAACTGAACAGAAAATCAGTGTGAATAGATTGTCTTTTCAAGCTCAAAACTCTCTTGTTTCTTTCTTCCTTTTTTATTTTTGTTTTTTGATAAATAGCTGTAAACTCTCTTACAGGATCAAGGAGTGATGGTTCTTCACTTCTTCTTCTTCTTCTTTTTCTTCTAACAAGTACAAATTTTAGGGAATAGAGGAATTTAAACCGGTATCATGTTAGCGGAAGTGTACCTTTAAAACTAACTATTAATTAGTTGGCCCACAAGTGTAGGGGTGGATCTTCACTTCTTCTTAACACACTTGACTTGGATGGCCAACTTCTTTTTGACATTTGGGTCTGGGCAGGACATTTTCTTCTTTAAATGTGCTGTCTCCGCCTTGGGGACCATGCAGCTAGTTTTCCCAAGACAATACTGCTTAATGTCAAGACAGAAGATCAATGACATGATACACTCATTTTTGGAAATGATGATGATGATGATGATGATGATGACTGTTTAGGGAACAAGAATTACCTTTTCAACAACCTCCTTGGCAGCTGGAGTGGTGCAATTTCCAGAGAAGAAGGTTCCACAGGAACCCCAAGGATCGCCATAGTCTGCAAACTCTACGGTGCCGATCTCTTTGTGGTCTGGACAAGTCAAGTAAGCACCTGGTTTTGCATCCTCCACGGTGACAATGCTACCCTTTTTCGAAAATAACTTTACTGGTGGTGGATAGTTTTCAGATACGTGGCTGCAGATTGTATCTCTATCCACAACCAGGAACTCAACCTTCGTGATGTTGGTACCTTGCTCCTCCTCTAATACAACAATGAGGTTGTCTTTTGGCTTCATGTAGGATCTTGGGATATGATACCTGAAATCAATATGAATGTTCATAGCAGTAAGAACGTTGCTTTGCATCTTCAAGGATGAGATTTCTTTTTCTTTAAAAGGGCAAAAAATGATTATACATACTCGGATTGAGTAGGCTGTAGAAGAGGAGAAAGGTAAGACGTCCAATATCGTCCAATGCTTTTACCATTAATCCAGACCATACCCTTCCCCATTCCAATCATCCGAATGGCAACAGGGTTGTCTCCTTCAGGGGCGTCAAAATGTGCCTGCAAGAGGGTAATTCAATTGTTGGAGAGAATTCCAGGCATCCAATATACAGGTTCTTAAGCATTCTCGAAATATTTACTAGGATTACCTTGTACCATGTTAGAGCATCTGCCTGAGTAGCTGGAGCCTTTTTCCACTTTACCTTTTCTGACCCTTCTTTTGTGTAGATCTTCTTCTGTTCTCCTTTCAATCCAACTAGATGTCCCCAACCATTGACTGTCAAGTCAAGTGTTCCAGTGTTCAGACCAAGAATTGTAACAGAACGAGGCCCAGCAAATCGGCGCTCCAGGTAGGGTCCGCTATCCTTTACTCGTAAAGAAAATCTCATCAGCTTCTCTTCTAAGATTGATCACAGTAAAGTCATGTTTGTGTTACACACACTCCTTACCGCTAGTCCCACTAAATAGGCCAAGATGATTATATGGTTGGTTCCTGCCTGCAAGGGTGCACGTTTCTGGAGGACAAAGCTCTTCTCAATTTTGCTCCCATGTGCAGATCCTGAAGACCATCGCCAAATCAGTTAATAACTATAAACGGATAAACCTCTTCTAAGAGCAATATAAATAAGTTACCAGAAATCAAGTGTGTCAACAAGAAGTATGCAGCTATCACACTTACCTACATATTCACCATTTACAAAACAAAGCAATCCATGGCCAAGACTTGCAATCCGTATAACTGGATGAAGACCTTTCTTCATTGGTAAGTCATGTTGTTGCAATTCAATACTGCAGTTTGAAGAATTGCATAAACACATCAAGTCTTGGCCTTGTCGAGGAGGACCGTACACCAACGCCTTTCAAATAATAGGTTAGACTGAAATGGTTTTCCAAAAAAATGTTCTAGTAATACTTACTGTGTTGAGTACCATGCATAGTCTGTGGTATCTTTAGTCAAGCTGTAGAGCTCAAATGGTTCTTTTGACATTAATGGAAACTGGCTTGGAAGTTTTTGTTTGTTAATCTTCCAGTCTAGATTTTTGTTTGCAATCTCAGATCTTATAAAGTTTCTTGCATTATGTTGTGCAACGATCTGTGTCATATCATCAAGAGAGAGAAATTTAGTCACATGAACCTTCCGTTTCTTTTGATAATCTTTATGCTAATAATAGAGACAAGAAAAAGGATTAGGAGCTACTGTTTGAGTATTGTAAACTGCGGTCTTGCAGTCTGAGAGGATGCTAATGGAACGAGGGGGCAGCAAATACTCATGACCCCTGAAAGTGACAGTTTGCTCTTTCTTACTGGCATTGTTTGCCAAGAAAGCAGCACAATCAGCACCATACTCCCAGACACGAGCCTGCATTGCCATGCAATTAACTATCAGTAATTGTAGCCACTTTCTACTCCATTTCCACTCTATTAGTCTGTTTAAATGTTTACCTCAGTATCTGGACCCAACTTTTGGACGGAGGGATTTCCCCAAAGTAGAGCCTTCTTGGACAACTTTATTGCCCTATGCAAGTCACTGAGATGACCCCATTTTGGCTCCCTTGGTAAACCTACAGAAATAAAAGCAAGTCCCATTAGATGTCTAGGAAACCATAGAATGATCATCAGATAGAAGGATTTTGAATCTTTACCATATTCATCAACAGGCGCTTCATCATAGTAGCGAGTTGATGTGAAGGATGAGCTTGTCCTACCAAAATTTGTGCCACCATGGTACTGCAAATAGGAAAGATAAGTGAGCTAATCGACCTAAAACGGGAACCAATACTGATTTAGGTAAAGAGATTGGATTTGAGGGGAACAATCAAGTATCTTCCTACCATATAGTAGTTGTTCATACTTCCACCTTTGGAAAAGAAGCGAGCAACAGAATATGCAATATCTTCTGCAGCTCTTTGAGATGGTGGATCACCAAAAACTCTAAACCTGTAAATTGTGCAATCCAACAGAATTAGTGTATAGAAAGGAAAGATCTGTAGATTCCACTCCCTCCTTCCACTCTCTTACCTCTTCATCTTTGATCTTTCTAATGTTGCCACTCAAACTGATAACTGTTAGATACTTACTGTGCAGTCCAGTTCTCTGTCCATAATGAAGGCTTGTTGGGTTTGTTTGGACCTGTGAAAGTATCTCCACAATGCCTTCCATTGCATGTATTGATCTACACGATGAAGAAAGCCTTCATAGTCATGCAATGCAACAATAAACACAGGTTTCCTTCTTTTCATGTATTTAGGAGGAGTTTCCACAAAAATGATGTATATTAGCTAAAGAGCTTATGGACATACAATGGGACCAGGAGCATCCTTCTGCTTGCACATAATCCAAGGAACACCTGCATTCAACCCAAGAGCCAAATTTCCTGCCCATTGAATATATTTGGTTCCTGACTCTTTGAATGCAACTTGGATGGTGTTGTACTCATTTTCAATCTGCATTGTGAAGTATCATGTTTTTATACCAAAGTAAATCTTAAAGTAAAAGAGATGAGAGATAGGCTTTAATTAGGAGAATGATGAGGATTGCACCAACCTGTGCTAAGATAATGGGGCCTCCTTGTGGAGCTAACAACTTCTCTTCCTTCATTTTGTCAATTACAAACCTAACATACTTTTCCATGTGTTGCTGCCACGCCAAAGGCCAAAGTTGATTCAAACAAGCAACTTGAATTATTTATTTGAAGAAATGATCTACATTACGTAGGGATGGGATGGACTATGGAGGAAATTAGAACAGTCACCTTGAATGGCTCGTTATCAGTTCTGAAAGTGATGTTTGTTACCTCTCTTAGCCAATATGGAAAACCCCTGAATTCATTATTCAAATTAAAAACCAACATTATCACAGGGAAATTTTGATGGGAGGATTGACAATAAACAGGAAGACTGAGAAAAAAGAGAAAGCAACTCTACCCGTGGCTCCATTCAGCCTGGATGAATGGCCCAACCCTGAGGACAGCATACATGCCTTGCTCCCCAATCATCTTGATGAACTTCACCAAGTCATAATTCCCATCAAAAACGTACTGCAAGTTCCAACAGAAAACAAAATCCTATAAATTACAGTCCTCGAAACTGGACAAACTAACTCTACGCCATAAGCAAACATGTCTCCAAACCAACGTCGTACCTTGCCTTGCTTCGGTTCATGAGCGTTCCAGAAAACGTAAGTCTGAATCGTGTTCAAACCTCCTTCCTTAGCCATTGAAAGGAGTTTACCCCACATCTGAAAATCAATTCAAAACACACCAATTAGCTCTAATGACCAATTCACCACAAACAGAGAAAAAGGTCGGATGGGTAAATTTCATTGACTCGGTTCGCACATACATCTTGCGTGCTGCGAGTGTAATGGATGGAACCGGATAAAATAAGCTCTCTTTTCCCATTGATGATCAACGACCTGGCATCGTACGTCACCGCCTCCGGTGAACTCCTTTTACCATCTGCATTGATTGAGAAAGAACACAAAAGGCTGAAGATTGTTATGAGAAGTGTTATTTTCCTAGGAAAGAACATGGTTGCTTCACAGTAAGATCTCGATGCTGGTGGGTTCTGTGTAATATTGGCTGTGTATTAATAGGAGAGAAGAACGGCGAAAGCAGAGGAAGTTGAGACCAAAACAAGGAAAGTTCTTCCTTGGAGAGGAGGAAGCCAACATGGACGAAGAAGAAATACATGGAAAGACGACGATCAAGGAGAAGGCAGAGGAAACCTCGGACTTTCCATTTTCTGGCAGTGCCGTTTATAACTATACGATCTTGCTTTCAATGTTGAATCCGGTTTTGGAGGGAAGTTCAGGAACTGTATACTAGTTATCTGTAATTTATAGAATGGTGATAGTTACAATGCCAGTAAGCTTTGTATAATTGGTTCTTTTCTTACACAATTATATATTTTACTTATTTATTGAAATGTCAAAAGTATAAACTTATGAACTTATAATCTCATTCGTATTGTAAATATAATATAATTGTTAATAATTTATATGCATTTACTTTGTTTATTAATTTTTTAAAAAAATTTAATTATTTTACATAAATTCATATTCAAATTTAAAGTATTGACAAATAATTTACTTGTGATTTAATGATATTTAAAATTATAAGTTTACAATTATAAAATTACATTAAAATACTAAAGAACTATTTAATATAGTAGTTTGAAACTAAGTATTAGCAGTTTCATTTATTTTAATATGTAAGAGTATTTGAATTATTAATAATAAGAATTATTAATTATTAGGTTAAACAAAATCATTAATTATTAGTTTTAAACTGCTACACCAAATGACCCAAAAAATTGATTAATAATATTTAAATAACTTCACAAACATTTCTACACACTTTTTTACTTACCATTATTCGACCACTGGTAATTTGTAGATTTGGTGTCGATGCTATTGTCAAGTGTCATACAAATTGTAATGAGATTCTAAGAATTCAATATCAATTTTTTTCGGTTTAATTTATGCTTGCTCCGAATTTCAGCTTGGATAGTCTTTCAGTTTCCTTAAATTTAATTACAACATTATATGTGGGTTTTGTTTCGTTCATATCAGAGTCCACATATTCACTGTATTCCTTCATTTTTCTTATGATTGAAGATTTGCTATGTTAATTTCTGGAAATGGGCAAGTGGTTGCAACTTAAGATGCCTAAATTTTGTAAGGTACTTATTGCATGATGGATAACAAAGGCCAAAAGGTAACGTCTTTAGGAATGTTGTTCATTAATATTGCCTTGATTATGAGACCAAACATGCTAAAAAGAATGTTTAAGAGTGAATTAAAAGAAAGAATTAATGTGTATATGAAGAACTCTCTGATGCGATGCACCGGGGAATAGATGTTAGGAAAAAGAATATAAATGGTTGGAAGAAAAGGAAAGAAAGAAGTGTTTGAAGAATCACTATCCTTGGGTATCAAAATGCCTTAGGACATAGTAGAATTGTAATTAAACTCTCTCAAGGGAAACTGTGAAAAGAATAAAATTTCTCATATATAAGTTTGGTCTATACTTGCATATGTTTATAATGAGTGAAATAACACCTAACTAAGAGTTATGTTATTTCATTAAAAGTTATGATATTTTAACAAACATGACATTTCACAATAAATAGTTATGTTTATTCTATATATCCATTAGATTAATGATCATGTCTTATAAAAAACTTTAAATTTAAAATTGAAATTTGAATTCATTTGGACGTAATTTGTCTATCAATATCAAGCCTGCAATGTCAACATTTTAAACTACTTTTAATGGGTTAGTTTATTGCCACCATCTAAATTATTAAGATAACCAATTTAACTATGATTTTATCCATTTATAGTCTTTTCTTAAACAGTTGATGATAATATTTGAAAATATTAGTTTATAGAATAATTTCAATCTACTAAAAAATAAATACTAAAGATTTTATTAATTATCAGTTATTTTTAATAATCAAATTAAGATACAGATCTAACAGAAATATTGATGATCTTAACAAATTGAGTGATAATCATAACCATAGCCACCTTGGATATTTGGTTACAATTATTTTGGTACCTTTTCAAACAAAAATATCCAACAATAGAAACAGATTAGTTTTCATGGTTTTCTATGTGGTTGCATTTAGACTAAATTTGGTCCTTCATCTTTCCATTCCATTAAGAGCTAAATACATGACAAATTGAGTGGTGGCTATAACCAATTAACCACAGCCACCCTGGATATTTGGCTACAGTTATTTTGTACCTTTCAAACAAAAATATTCAACAACAGAAACAGATTAGTTTTCATGGTTTTCTATGTGGTTGCATTTAGACTGAATTTGGTCCTTCATCTTTCCATTCCATTAAGAGCTAAATACATAACCTATTCCAAGTTTTCTTTATATGTTCCACTCCATATATCTGGTTTTCTTCATATTAGGACTTTAGCACAATCTGTTATTGCAGGCGTCCAGGGATTTTCACTGCCAAATCACAAATCATAAGCTTGACTTACAGTCTCTCCAGTCTCATATTTTCTAACATAAATACCATGGATGTAAATCCTACTTGGTAATTCCTATTTACTATACTTCTGCAGAAAGCATCAGAAAGGCATACTACAGTCTACAGACAAAACTGAGCTGAAAGCAGATGCTTCCCATGTTTTTACTCTGCACGTTGTGCCTATGATGAATTAAACAAGAAAGGTTGATTCTTCCCTGAAGGTCATGGATTTAATTTCTGACCAAGTGACAACAAATACAGACTTCACAAGGGATAAGATTTCTAAAAGAAGATTGTAAACTTTCACTGCTCATATTGGTTGTGGCTCAGGGAAATATCGGCGGTCACAGACACTTGCTACACTTGCTCTTTCTTCTTCTTTTCTTAATGCACAGGGTAAATGAGTTTGAAAGTTACACCTAAAGCTGGCACAAATTATGGGTCAAAAAGTCATTTCTTTTCATAATGTATATTTTGGCATATCTATACCTCTGTTCCTTCTTTTTGTCTTTCCCATGTAATTGAAGATTTATCCATCACCAGGAGGACATCAACTACTGTTAAGAAAGGTCTATGTTCCGGAAGCAGTGAACATTTTAGCTGCCAAAAGAAGGAAAGCTGAGCTAGTGGTATGATTCTTAATTTGGCAATTTGAGGTTCTGACTTCTGAGTATTCCTTGATAACATTCACCACTTCTGGTGCATTGATCTGAGCTTCCCATTTGGGGAAATCCAACAACTGAGATCTTGCAATATCCAGTGCTGTGGATAATTACATCAATATCTTTTAAGCTCTCGGAGGATTCCGAAGATTCATCTCCTTTAGGGATTGGAATTAATGACTAGTTAAGTGAAAAACTAGAACCTTCTTCCATGTGAAGTGCTAGTTTCTAACAAATGCAATCATTACTTTATACAAAAGTTTGTAAGATATTTGTCATGTTACTCCATAGGAGAAAAATCATTGGGCTTTGAATTTAAAAAAAAAAGCAGAGCGAAATGTCCAAGCATGAATATGACAAGACTTAATTAATATATATTTCTAAATGTCATATAAGATCCCACTTCTTAATTATTAGCCACGTTAGGAACTTCACAATTAACTATATATATATATATATATGAACACGAAAAAATTAGAAACACACGGGGTTTCGTTTCAAGTTGTTTCAAGTTGTTGGAGGAGTCCAACTTTTAATCAGTTACACCTAAGCATTTAAGGTTTTGTGACGAATCATTGGGTTTGAAAGTTCGATTTCAATTAAATATTTCTTTAGATATGAAGGGATTTGAATTTAAAATTATCAAAGTATCATTGCACTTTTTTGTATTATACAACACCAGTCCTCTTAATTAACTTTTAATTATACATTTTAAGCATAGGATCTCAGACTCATGTGCAGAGGTAGAGATTCAATTTAGTTAGCATATATAATGTTGTCGTTATGTAAAACCATGATCCATACTAGTGCAAAGGATATTAGTAGTAGATATACAGGCACCAATGTCTAAATGAAATTGATTGTAGTAGATAGGTAGTAGGGTACGGCATGTTACATTGATGTTGAAGTGAAGGAGAAAGGTAAGGAATTTGGCTACCCATGCACATGGAGTTGTTGACAACCAGCCCATGTGCTTTGAGAATTTTAATGCCATTTTTATTATATTGTTAGTTGGCCAAATTAGATGATTATGCTTATTAAAAAAAACTTAAGTTCTAAAACGCCTAGGACTTGGCCTGCAAAAAACCTATGGTAGATAACCTTAGGCTAAAAAGTTAGGATTAATTTGCCTAAGTTTTTATTATTATATTAAATTTTAATGTTGAATAGTTATAAATCTTTACTAAAAGTGCACTTTTAACCTTAAATGTAGGTTCAAATCTCCCTTTCAAGTTTATACTTGTTAAAAAAATATACATGATTTGAGAGTTTTCTAATTATTAATTAAATTTTGTGTATTTTAAAATTAGTATTTTTAAATAATTTCAAAAATATACTCTTACTTGAACTTAATATATTTAAAAAAATTAATTTTCTTTAATATTAATTTTAAGACTTAAATT